GGTTTCCTCCGCCAGCCTCGAAGGAGGCGCTGGGGTGTACGTACAGCTGAATATATAAATCAGTAGACAGAGAAGATGACGTGCATGCATGCATGCCATTCAGGCACTGGATCTGCATTGGAGGCAGCAGCAGCAGCAGCAGCAGCAGCAGCGGCAGCAGCAGCGGCAGCAGCAGCAGCAGCAGGGGCAGCAGCCTTTATGGCTGGCTGAGGGAACCCATAAGCCGTAAGCGCTCCAGCAAAGGCGGAATATGCAGCGTAGCGCTGCTGCTGCTGCACTAACAGCAGATCTCCCTGCACGTCCTGATGCCCCGGCAGCAACTCTGACAGCAGCAGCAGCAGCAACATCAACAGCAGCAGCAGCAGCAGCAGCATGTATTGCTTCTATTGCTGCTGTTGCCGTGCTCGGCGGGCCTTCGTACCCAGTTTGCTCATCAGCATCAGCGGATGCAGCAGTATCAGGAACAGCAGCAGCAGCAGCAGCAGCCGCAGTTGCTGCTGCTGCTGTAGCTGCTGCTGCTGGTTTTGCTGCTGCTGCTGCAGCTGCCTGCGCGCTGCTGCTGCACCGCTCATATAAGTGGTTTAAGATAAAGCCCCAAAAGACTCTGCGGCTGCATGCGCAGCACCACCAGTACGATGGAACCAATCGATACACCTCGTCATCATCATCACTTGCTGCTGCTGCTTCTGCTGCTGCTGCTGCTGCTGCTGCTGGAGTCGATAGTGCTGCAGCACGCCGCTGCTGCTGTCTTGCTGCTGCTTCCTGCTGCAGCGCGAAGCGACCCGCGCACGTCAGGTGTACGTACACCCCGCATTGAGGGCAGCAGACAGCTCTTTCCCTCTCTTCAAATGGCAACTGACACGAAACACAAGAATCCCTCTCAGCAGCAGCAGCAGCAGCAGCAGCAGCTGTTGCTGCTGGTGCTGCTGCTGTTTCCTTAGGGGAAAGCTGCCTGAAGCAGCCGGAGTTGCTGCTGCTGTCGGCGCTGAGCTGCTGCACCTGTGGGGGCGTAGCATCACCAAAGCAACATATGCATCCGCTGTTGTTGCTGCTTTTATCACCGCTGCCGCTGCTGCTGCTGCAGTTGCTGCCATTGCTGCCGTTGCTGCTGCTGCTGCTGCTGCTGCGTTCAGTGAAGGCAGCAACGCGCAGGCCAGGGGGCTGCAGGCCGACGGAGGTCAGGGGCCCGCTGCTGACAGTCACCTGCGGGGGCAGCCGGGTCAAGGGTCTCCTGCTGCTGCTGCTGCTGCTTTTGCTGCTGTTGCTGCTGCTGCTGCTGTTTCTGGTGAGCTGTTTTGTTGCTCCTCCCCCGCAGCAGGGGTACAGCAGCAAATCCTGCAGGGCATCTGCAACGTCAGGGTAGCAGCAGCGCAGCTGCAGCGGGAGACGGCTGAAGGGGTCGCTGTGCAGCAGCAGCAGCGCCTGCTGCAGCTCTGCTTCGAGCCGCTGCTGCGGCTGCTTGCTGCGGCGTCTCCGCAGCACAAAGGGGACGCGGCAGCAGCGCGAGTCGTCTGCTGCTGCTGCCTGCTGATTCAGTAACTCCCAATCTGCAGCAGCAGCAGCAGCTGCTGCTGCTGTTGCTGTTATGACACCGGCTGCTGCTGCTCCTGCTGTTGCAGCAGCAGCAGCAGCAGCAATGCTGTCTGCGGCACCGGCTTGTTGGCGGCGCTCCCTCCGCTGCTGCTTGCGCTTTGCTGCGCAGCTGCTGCAGCTGCTGCAGCTGCAGACGGCCCCCGTGTTGCTGCAGCAGCACAAAGCACGAAGTGCAGCAGCAGGAACAAGCGCCTGCTGCCAGCGGAATTCAAACTGTAGGGCTCCAACTAGAGAGGGGAAACCCGAAATAAGCAAACACAGACGCCAAGGACGGTGCCTGCAGCAGCAGCAGCAACAGAAACAGCAGCAGCAGCAGCAACAGAAATAGCAGCAGCAGCAGCAACAGAAATAGCAGCAGCAGCAGCAACAGAAATAGCAGCAGCAGCAGCAGCAGCAGCAACAACAGCGACTGCAGCAGTGGGTTCATACCTCCTGGAGCAGCAGCAGCGCGCACTTCTGCTGTTGCAACTCGAGACGAAACTTTCATACCATAGCAGCAGCAGCAGCAGCAGCAGCAACAGCAGCAGCAGCAGCAGCAGCAGAACTAATCTAACCATGAAGTGCGTCGAGCTCCCTGTATGATTTCTCCGTTGTGCTGTCTGAGGCGGCGCTGGGGGTTTGTGGTGCAGCCAACGTAGAAGTGCTGCGGGGAGTTGATGGACTGCAGCAGATAAACACAGTAAAAACCACGAGGCACGCACAGCCAGCTGCTGCTGCTGCTGCTGCTGCTGCTGCTGTTGCTGCTGCTGCTGCTGCTGTCTGCGTTTTGGGGGCGGTCCGCCTCGTCCGAGCTGCTGGGATCTGAGGCAGAAGGAAAACTGCTGCCGACGGAACTGTTGCTGCAGCTTCTGCTAATGCTGCTGCTGCTGCTGCTGAGGCTTCTGGTTCTGCTGCGGCTTCTGCTGTT